ATACCAGCAAAACACTAACAGTGTAACTTTATAACTCAAGGTGAATTGCCTTGAGTTATAAAGTCACCACAGAGACTTTCTGTGCAACAGACATCTATGATTTCGTATCCTGAGGCAATTACACCATTTGTGTTATGCCAGCGTAACTCTGCAAGAGGGATAGTACTGACTTTGGAAGAAAAGCTGAATACCCATCCAACCTTTATCAGATAAACACAGGCAAAAAATGGGCCAATAGCAGTTACCAGAAACACATTACTAGGCTGTGCACCTTATAATATAAGCCCAGGACATCAGCTTTTCCCTTTTAAGACATTCCAATCATTCATATGTTTGTTTGTTCCAAGTCTGATATAGGTCATTTGACGTTGATGAAACCACCATTAAAACTATTTTCAACATAGAATGGAGGGGAAAATATGCAGTCCTCATCCAGAATGATGCCCAGATTTCAGATATAGGTCAAAATATCTCTCTTTTTTTCAGTTATACCAGCAAAACACTAATGGTGTAACTTTTGGTGGTGAATTGCCTTGAGTTATAAAGTCACCCCAGAGACTTTCTGTGCAACAGATGTCTATGATTTTGTATCCTGAGGCAATTACACCATTCGTGTTATGCCAGCGTAACTCTGCAAGAGGGTTTTGGCCATAGAAACCTGTAGCAGAGTTTGTAGCAATCTGGATCTACAAAGAAAGCTGAACATTCCCAGATCAAGGAACCCATCAAGGATAAATATTCCTCCTACCTTTGAGCAATTCCTTTTCCAACTTTGTTCCAAGTCTGATATAGGTCATTTGACGTTGATGAAACCACCATTAAAACTATTTTCAACATAGAATGGAGGGGAAAATATGCAGTCCTCATCCAGAATGATGCCCAGATTTCAGATATAGGTCAAAATATCTCTCTTTTTTTCAGTTATACCAGCAAAACACTAATGGTGTAACTTTTGGTGGTGAATTGCCTTGAGTTATAAAGTCACCCCAGAGACTTTCTGTGCAACAGATGTCTATGATTTTGTATCCTGAGGCAATTACACCATTCGTGTTATGCCAGCGTAACTCTGCAAGAGGGTTTTGGCCACAGAAACCTGTAGCAGAGTTTGTAGCAATCTGGATCTAGGATAAATATTCCTCTTACCTTTGAGGAATTCCTTTTCCAACTTTGCAATTTTTTTCTCCTCTTTTTGCTTTCGGGCTTTTTCTTGTTTCTTCCTCTGAAATCTAGAGAGCAGGTTTTGTTGAGCAAGCATTACAAAAAGAACAGAACACTTGCATTTCAGAGAGAACAAAAATAACCCACTGTAAAAGCAGACTACAGTGCAACATTACTTGGTAGTATTTGAAGCTATATTTCTTCAAACTGCTCACCAGTTCCTACTGACTATTGACTGCGTACAAGTACTTCTGGATGCCTGAGCAAATAATTTCCATTAAATCTCTGGCTCCCAGTTTGCTGTCTTTTCTGATCCTCCCTATGCCAGCCCACTTTTTTCAGGACTTCTGCTGGTATATTGACCATCCCCAGCCCAAGTTTGTCCAGCTGGGGGTGGGGGCAGTTCAAAGCTTTTGGCCTTGGGAGACTTGACATCTTCACCAAGGCCACCTTCTCTGGAATCACAGGTTTCAAGACACTGATCCATGAGCAGAAGAGTTAGTAACAGCTCCACTGTCATGAATGGATAATTACCCAATCAGATTTTATCTGCTGGAGATTCGTAGCCCCTATTTGGATAGCAGACCAATTTTGATGGTGTCACTAAGATGCTGGTGGATTGATATGGTTTCCTGAGTCTCTTGGGAAAGCATATCATAGTTTTATCTAGTGGTTTTATCTAGTGAGACTCTGTCTTTTCTTGGAATGAGATAACTCGGATTATCGAGATGATCAGCCCGCTTGTTTCTGACCCAGTTTTCAGTGAACGCAGATTCACAAAGCAAAGGGCTCATCTCAAGAATTATACACTCACACTGCAATGTTCCCCATGCCACATGTTGTGCCTTAACAACTCATACGTACTCCTTTCTTTTCTGGGATTTTTCTTGTATTGGCTCTTCTTTCTCAGGCTCACGTTGCTGCTGGTTTTTTGCAAGGAACATCACATGCTGTGTTTCTTGCTCCATACGCATGATATAGGACCATTCCGTTTCTCCTTTTCGCCTCTTAAATTTTGGCACTGGTATGTCATCTTCTGATACATCAGGCCTCTTTTCCTTTGCTGAGAAAAGAGTATAGACTATTCAGTTCTCCTGTGCCCAGCAACATTCATAGAGGTGACAGATAAGATAACCTTTAGCCCCCTCTCCTTTGTCATCTTTGTTCTTTAGAAAACATGTGTCCCTCACTGAGTAAGTATGGTGTCTGTCTGACACACATTTAAGGTGGAATAGCATATAAAGCCAGTTCCTGGGACCTCTAGAACACAAGCGGGTATCATACTGTACTGTGATACTCTGCACTTCTTCAAGACAAAACGAAGTTTTAGAGGTCTAGACAGCAACTGAATGTAGGATAAAACTGCATCAGAACCCCCTGATTTCAAAGTGTTATAACACATGTTAGTTAATACAAAGTTCCTCATAGCATATACAGTGCTGCCTTGACTTACGAACTTAATCCGTATTGGAATGGTATTCGTAAGTCAAAACGTTTGTAAGTCAAAGCACCATTTCCCATAGGAATGCATTGAAAACCAAATAATCTGTTCCGGCCAAAGAACAAAATCACACACAAAAAAGAAAAAACAAAGCAAGCCCAGTCAGAAGGTGCTGGGGCTTTAAGGGAAAAAAAGAACGCCAAAAACAAACAGCAAAGCCACTTCCATTGCTGAGGCAAAAAACTCCAAAAATAAATAGTAAAGCCACCAACAACAAGGCACAGAAACATACGTATGGAGCAGCCAAGGCACAGAAACATGCGTATGGAGCAGCCAAAACCCACTCAGAACAGTTTTTTAAAAAAGGAGAAAACAGCAGCTTTCCTCCCTGCAGATACACACACGCTCACTCTGAAGCAGGCTCTCCCAAGCCTCCGATGACCATGACGACACACACTCTCTAACTGCCCAAAGTGAAAGAGCTACAGTACAAAGCAGCCTCATCGCCATCTACTATTGGAAATTTGAATTGCCTGCCTTTTTTCCTGCCTTTCTTCTGTTCGTAAGTGGAAGCTCCATTCGCAAGTCGAAGCAAAATGTTGCAAACAGAGCTGTTCGTAAGTAAAAATGTTCGAAATTGGGGCGTTCGTAAGTCGAGGCACCACTAATAACTAGTAAATTTCTCCCAGAGGTATGTGACATATTACAGTGGGGTCTCTACTTAAGAACAATCCAACTTAAGAACAGCTCCATTTGCTAAATTTTGCTTCTACTTGAGAACAGAAATCCAAGATAAGATCCACTCAGAACAGTTTTTTAAAGAAGGAGAAAACAGCAGCTTTCCTCCCCGCAGATACACACACGCTCACTCCGAAGCAGAAGGAGGCTCTCCCAAGCCTCCGACAACCATGACGACACACACTAACTGCCCAAAGTGAAAGAGCTACAGTACAAAGCAGCCTCATCGCCACCTACTACTGGAAATTTGAATTGCCTGCCTCTTTTCCTGCCTTTCTTCTGTTCATAAGTGGAAGCTCCGTTCACAAGTCGAAGCAAAATGTTGCAAACAGAGCTGTTCGTAAGTAAAAATGTTCGTAAGTAGGGGCGTTCGTAAATCGAGGCACCACTAATAACTAGTAAATATCTCCCAGAGGTATGTGACATATTACTGCCACATAGTACAACGGATTGTAAAGAAGTGGTTTACATGAGAGAAGCAAAGTTACTACAATATTAAATGGTTTTCAATGCATTCCTATGGGAAATGCAGATTCAACATAAGAACTTTTTAACTTGAGAACCACCTTCCAATACGGATTAAGTTCTTAAGTAGATACCCCACTGTACTGCCACATAGTAAAACGGATTGTAAAGAAATGATTTACATGAGAGAAGCAAAGTTACTACAATTACTATTTGACCAATTATCCCCAAGCCCCATCCACCAAAACAGATTCAACAAAGCAAAGGTACCTGTGCGTGTTTGTATGTGTACGTTGGGCGATTATGTTAAAAGGGCAATTCATTATGCATACTGAAAAATACGACTTTACATAGTAAAACGGATTGTAAAGAAATGATTTACATGAGAGAAGCAAAGTTACTACAATTACTATTTGACCAATTATCCCCAAGCCCCATCCACCAAAACAGATTCAACAAAGCAAAGGTACCTGTGCGTGTTTGTATGTGTACGTTGGGCGATTATGTTAAAAGGGCAATTCATTATGCATACTGAAAAATACGACTTTACCCTTTCGCTTTTTCTTCTTGCTCTTAGAATTCTTTAATTCATCACGACTCTTCATAATCTCCCGCAACTTATATGGAATTTCTTGCTCATCCAGGCATTTGGGTTTCAAGTCTGTTTTCTTCTTCATTTGGCTAAGAGTTTTTTTAAAAAAGAAAAGAAACAGAGAGGAGAAGCTCTGGCAAGGTGCTGCAGCAAACATGACAACTTAAACTTGTCATGGCCCAACAATATAACACACTTCATTAAGGGGGGTGTTTATTTCTTCCTCTGTTAATGTGATCTATGCAGTCCTTTGCCAACAGTGCTTTTTTTGCGTTCCACATAGGACAAAGAAGATAATCTCTAAGCAAAAAGAATTAATGGACACAAAGCAGACATTAAAAATGGCAACACCAAAAAACAGGTTTCAGAAATTTCAATCTGCCCAAACACTTTATGCTGAAAGTGACCGCTGGACACTACAAAACTAGCCTTGAAACAGCGGAAAATAAGGTACCTACTGTCAGGATGCTGATGCTCCCCTTAAAAGGACTGGATATCCATCAAGGTTTCTCAGGTCCTTACTAAGTGTGAAATCCTACACTGGTTCCCACAGTGTGTCCACTTGTGTCCACAAGGCTATTACTACCTTGCAGGCTCAGGATTGGAACCCACCGCCTGATAGCCCTATCCTTTTTAATTACGAAACCCTATCACTACGTCCATTTCCGGTATCCCCACCTGCTTCTGGGGCCAGAGGCCAACCTGCCCGTCCTAGAGTTTCTTCCACTCTAATGTCCGAGGAAGTAGACTCGATCCACGGAAGCTTACATTAGAGTTGCAGTCGCTCGTCTTTAAAGTGCCGCCGGGGTTTTGCCTCGGTTTTTTGGGTTTGATTCGGTCTGATAAACGTCACCGCACCTTTTTTTGGGTGGGTGGGGGAGCTGTCGAAAGCGTGGCCTGGCTCCAAAGCATCAGAGCAGGCAACGCAGGGATCATGCACACGAAGGGCGCTCAACACGTGAGAGAGAAAAGCCAACGGCTCGGACACTGACCTGCCACCGGGTGCAACCCCTCTCCGCGGAGCCAACGCCTCCGCCACCCTCGGCTTCTTCTTGCCCATCGCCGCGCGAAGGAACAGAAACACGTGCGCTCCACTTCCGCCCTTCTCTCTCTCTCTCGTTCCCCAATCCGGTGAGTGACCCTCCCCCTGCCGGCGAGCCTACGCGTCCCCTTGGACGTTACGTCCTTGCCCTTCTTCCAATGGCTTGCTCGCCGGAGGCGGCTGACCACGCCTCTCCTGTGGGCCGTGCGCCTATTGGATGAACGAGGTGTCGGTTCGGGTATGGGGAGGAGCCGTGTGGTAGTCGGGAGAGAGCCATGATGTTACTGTTGTTGGCCGTGCGGTGCGGTCGCGGGCTGGTGGGGTCCCGGCGGGCCGCTGTCGTTGGTGCCGGGCAGGTGAGCTAGGGCGAAGGGCGGGGAGACGCAAGGTTGGGCGCGACGCGGGAGGACATGGGGGAGGCCGGGATGTGTCCCGCTGGCAGGATCGAAAAGCTCCGCCGCCTGGGGGAGGGGGGGTGATGTTTCCTCGGGAGGAAGCCCTTCAGTCCCCAGCCACCGGGGCTGGCTCAGAGAGGCCACCGCCGGGAAACGGGAGACCGGCCTCCGGATATTTGGGGACTCCAGGAAAATCGGTTGTGAGAAGACATATATCTGATCAGCTGCACAGGAAAAAGTTGGTTTCATTTCTCCGCCCGTTTTGCTTTTTGACAACTTTACTGTTGCATTACATCGCCTTTTTGTTGTCATTCTCTGCTTTACGAGTTTTATGTTGAAATGTGCATTGCAAATTCTGGGAATAAAGTAATTCAACCTGGCAAGCTAGGTATTGGTTTGTTTCCAGGAAAGGGAGACGGAAAGCAACACTGGAATGTAATCATGTTTTTTTGCTTTTGCTAGGAATGCTTATGTCTGGACAAGCACCACCACGGTAATGGTCCTACAGCATCCTTGCCCCTGGACAGATCCTGTCATAAGAAGTCAGTTAATACGTGGACGCTTCCTGAAGTGCTAGTACATTTTGGACGTCACATCCATGTAGACACAAAGGGTGATAATTCCCAAAATGCTGCCTCAACAGAAAAAAGTTTTGCCTCAGAGGAGCAGACTCTTTCTTCAAAGGACAAAGAGCCCCTCCTTGCTGTTGCTCCAGCTGTTGCCCCTCCCACAAATTGTTGCATGAGTGGATGCCACAACTGTGTGTGGATTGCGTATGCTGAAGAGCTTCTGAAATATTACCAAGATGCTGGAGATGAAGCATTAGCAGCTGTGGAGAAACACGTAGAGGACGAGAATATAAAAATGTTCTTAAAAATGGAAATCAGATTCCGCATGAAGAAAGACTGAAACCTTTAGCCAGACTCTTTAATTACAGCAACTGCATACCTCTTGTGTGATCTGAGGCCACAGCAGGCTGTGAAGGAAAACAGATCCTAATCATTTATGTCGATGATGAGGACTCTTTGGCCTTTCAGATGTTTTGCACTTTAACTCCCATAATCTCTCATTAATGATGCTAGCTGCGGCTTCTCAGAGCCACGGTTCCCCACCCTGCTTTATGTACTTTCTAAATGAAAAAGTGCTTTAACTTATATAGTGCTTTAAACGTGTTTTAATTTATATATGAATTCTCAAGCCTGTTGGTGTGATACATTAATGTGAGTCATAACACTGAAATTGAGGTGTTGGAAAAGCATGATTCTACGGCTTATGCCTTAATATTGTGTTTCTTTAGTCCCAGGAATTCACCCTGAAACATAGGTAAAGCATACTGTCCTCATGGATGGTGATATATGGTAGCTAAGGAGTCATGGTTTTAAGTATGGAAGCCAACACACTTCCTGTGTGACATGTTTGTTACATTTATATCCTGACTTTTTTCCAGTAAAACTCAGGTTATTGTCAATGAGATTCCTAAGAAATCTACCATCCTGGCAGTATCAGACCCAAACTTGCCTATATCATTTGCAAAGTGGCTGTACTGGGTGCTGTCAGATATCTGATGCAAAGATTTCTGGAGCACTAAACAACCCCTTAGATGCCAGTTTGTTTCTATAAGGTAGCCAAAATATGGTGACTTATAGGGCTAAAGGGTATTTGTGCCCTTGCCCAAGCACATCTTGATAAGAAGTTCCATGGCCTCTCAATCCGCCATCCTCCAGACTTTTGCACTTCACTTCCCAGAATCCCCAGCCATTGGCCATGCTGACTGAGACTTCTGGGAGTTAATGTACCTGGAGGACTGAAAGAATATTTTTGTGATGCAGTTCAGAGTTATTTTGGAATCTATTTCTCTGACTAGCTCTGCAGACTTTTATCTCAGAGTAAGCTTGTAGGTTAGCTCCATGATTCATTTAGCTCAGACACGGACAACAGATGATCCTCCAGATGCTGAGCTTCTTATCTAAACAAGGATCTGAATGTGGGTTTCACCAGACTGAGCCATTGTACTACATTGTTTTGTAAGTTCCCTAAGGAACTTAACAATCAAAGTGTGTATCTGTTTTTGAACTGTGTTTCCTCCACTCTGCATGTTATTTATAATAAAACAAGCAATGATACCACACTGATACAGGTTGCTCTCTATAACTGATTTTTCAAAGAGGCCTGACAATACTTTTCAAGTATTAGAGTAGGATGAGATCTGTGCAGAGATTTAATGGGACAAGGAGAGGATTTAGAACAAAAACTAGTCAGTATGATGGTGGTATTTGTATAGTGCTGTTAGTAAAGCTTTTTGCATACATTGTTATAGTAATGTTTATGGTGCCCTTATAATATGTATCAGGGATGAGCTACAGGACTTGTTCCTTGCTTTCTCCATAAAGGAGCAACATTTACCAGAAAACTAGGGTGGTTTGATTCAGATTTTGTTCTAATTTCAGCAGTGCCAGACACTGTGCCACCCACTTTTTCCTCGTAGAAGTGAAAGGCTCCTACTAACGTCTGTAGCAGAAGGAGAATAAGCAGCAAAAGTAACACTCTGTCATCAGAAGGAGCTATGCATGAGAAAGCCACAGTGTCAATAAGTCAATTATTGCAATGGCTGTTGTGTGAGAGAGATTGAGGAGGTGCCTGCTAGTGTGTTGGCTGTTGCCAGAAGTGTGTGCCAACACAACTGAGGAGTTACTTGTAGGTACTGCAATTGCAATCCAAAATATTGAAGATAGGGAAGAACGTGGGGAAGGTAGGATAAAGAGCCCATAGCGTCTTAAGTGACATTATGTTACTTCCTGATTGCCACCTACTGTAACCAGCGGGGGAAGTGCTTTAGAGAGTTTTTTATTTGGAACAGGGCAGGGAACATGTGCCTCCCCCCACCCCGCCGGCCCTGGATCCTGCTGAGTTGCAACTTCCATCAACTGTGGCTGGCAGAGTCCTTTTGTAAAGGGTTGTGATTATGACAGCTCTGAGTTGCAGGTTAACTACACCTAGAGGCTGCAGTTTCCAACCCTGCTTAAGTGGCAATATGATATGTTGAAATCAGCTGTTTGAGATTTTCACCCAAAGGACAGTAACCTCTCATCAGTTCATGCCTTTAGGTGGCTGCTAAAAGAACAGAAGCAGCATTGGCAACCACCAAGGAAGGAAAATTCCATTTACCTGTAAATTCATCCAGGTCAGGGTAGCTAATGAACAACTAATTAACTTTTTCTCAGCTACAAGCTCAATGGAACCCATTTCACAATTTAGCAGAGAATGTATAGAAAACATTGCATTCTGTTCGCTCTCTTCTAAAACAGTAAATGATCATCCTTGTCCTCTACCTGGCTGCTAAAACTATAGCCATTGCAATCCCTTACTACAACAGTCCTTAGACAGTCTAATCACAGAGGTCACTTTGTATGGAACTGTGAACCTTCTACTAATTACTGCTCACTAGACTTCAGCAAATAGGATTAAGCTCTGCTACTTCAATGTTAAATGAAGGGGGGCGGTTCAGTTTCATTTTGTGTTTCATCTAATCAATGCATGCAGTAGCATAAATCTGGGGTACTAAAGTAGAAATGATAAAATTAAGAACAGTGATAAACAGCTAATAAGTAAAGAGAAGAAGCATATATGTTATTTTACACTCTTCTTCAAGAAGTCCTACCTGTTGTCATAAACCATCAACCCAGGAAGTATTTATTGAAGGCCTTTCTAGGCAGCTCCTTGCTTGCTCCATAGATTTCTGACAGTTTGGATTATTTATGCTGCCTCTGCTTCCCTTACAATGGGCCATGCCATTCCTGTGGCTGCTTTTGCCCAAACTGAGATGATTATGTTGAAAGTGAAGCCACAGATGTATATACAGAGAAGGCATAGACTAGGTTGGGCAGAGTGGAGCTCATCAAATTATAGCTCCCATCAGCCCCAGACCACAGGAAGGAAGGCTAGAGGTTGCAATACAACAACATGGGTTGCACTTGGTTTGCCTATCCCTGGCAGAGAAAAACACAACTTTTGTAGCATTATATGCAATGGAATAATGCAGCTAAGCATTTTGTGCCTCTGTAAAGGTTCACAAGTTGACTACAGTGTGACCTTTCATAGACTTAAATCTATTCATCTAATCCAGGAAGTTGTCAGGCATATATGCAAATAGTGATGGGCATCAGAAGTAATGAAGTTGGAGGCAAATGAAATGCAAAAAGTCCATACTGTGACAGGCACGTTAACAGTGGCCATTCACAAAGATAGCACAGACACTCAGGCTTTGGTAAGCAAATTAGCACATGCAATGTAATAAAAATCTTCTGATACAAATCTGAATTTTGGAATAAACCCTAATTCAGTCTTTGTATGTTGCAGTTGACTTTCGAAGTTAATTTGTTTGAGAATCTTAAAGTCAGTCATTATGTCCTGGAAGGCTGAAACGCGCCTCTCTTTTTTGCCTAAAAGGCTTGTTCCTCTGCTGTTGGCATAACAGCGCTTGAGCCCTGAAGTCCCATAGAATTTCATAAAATGCACGCTGTGGCATTGTGCTATGGAAGTTCTCTAACAGTTCTGGAGACAACGCAGGAGATATTTATCCTATTGGAACAATGTTGCTTGAAATATTTTCCCCCATGCTTGTGCCTCAGAGGCCTTTCCCTTTCTTTATCATATGGATCATTAATAATGCACTCATCACTGAGGATGACACCGGATTAAAAACAAGAGTCGTAATCCTATTATGAAGAGCACAATAAATCTAGCAACCACTTTGATGCCTTCAGATCTTCTGGAAACAAGAGCTAGACAAAACTGGCCACTGTTAAAGCTTGTGTTGTCTCCAGTTCCTGTCTTTGAAACTAGTACATAATCTCTATCTGGTAAGTAACAGCTTCCTTATGTTTTTATTTGACTTACCGTCACCAGCTTATTCTACATATACTGTACTTTCTTCTTGGTCCGATGGAGGTGTGTTCCTAGACGGAACCTCATGGCGCAGTGGATGAACTGCAATCCCACAGTGAAGACTGCTCACAACTTGAGTTCAAGCCTAGGCCCAGGTAGCTGGTTCAAGGCTGTCTCAGGCTTCCATCCTCCTGAGGTTGGTAAACTGAGTACCGGGGGGGTGGCAATGGGTAGCCAGTATAAATACATTGTAAACTGCCCAGAGAGTGCTTTAACCCTGTGGGGTGGTATAGATGCAGCACGCTTTATATCCCTTTCTAAGGGAGACTTGGTGGTGCAATGGCCGATGTATTGGGTTGGTGCAAATTCTTGCTCAGCTGTGTAATGTTGCTGGCTAACTTTTGGACAAGCCACAATCTTGCCACCCAGCCTTTCCCATAGGATTGCTATGAAGGTTCCATGAAGTAGATCCTGCAATGTTATGCATATGTATACGGGACTCGTCCAGCTCAAGCCAACAGGACTGCCAAGTAAGAAAACCTGCAAGGCTTCAATTACAAAGACTGTACATTTTTTTGTAACACTATGGCAAAGAAGAGTGATATTGATGGATTCCCAAACACTGAAGTAAATGGGATTGACACCCCCCACCACCACCACTAATTTTAATTTGAGCATGTATTTGATTAGCACAGCTGTCATAGATTGGAATTATGATTCTTAGAACGGTGTGAGTTTTTAAGAGCCACAAGGAAAAAGTTCTTAGAAGGAGCAGTTGTAGTGGCAAAGTCTTCTTACCTCTGTTGCCAGGACATCTGTGGGGGTATAACTCCTACGTCTACACAATTCTAGCTGAAGGCTGAACATTGTAGAGGCTTGAAGTATCACAACTGATCCTATCAGAAGGGGAGATGCAGCAGTTTTCAGAGGGATCCAGTAATAACTGATGAACTAAAGCAAAATATTTCTCCAATGATAATCCTGTAACCAAGTACCAATATTAGTAGAAGTATTTACAGGGTAAAGGCTGGGGTGGGGACATGGAAGGATATAATCAGATTAGCATTTGTTGAAGGATTTGAAAATGCAAATAAGAAATGTGGATCAGACCAGTGGTCCATTTATCCCACTGTTCCATGGAGGGCAGCTGGTAACAGATGGTGGATTTGCCAACAGGATCCTGGATTTGCTGGGACAAACTACACCAAAGCAAAGTCAGTGATTCGTTTCCCATTATGTGTGTGCTTGCATGTGAGCTTATGGGCAATGGGCCATTTTCTCCACCATGTGATGCATGTCGGCCCTCTCATTTATTTTTATTGTTCATCATCATTCACAGACATTCTGGTACCTTCAGTAAAGGAATAAGATGGCCCATCTCTATCTCACCACCACCATGTTCCATGCAAAGAAATTGGACTGGCAGTTGAATCTTTCACAGATATTTGTGGCAGGACAGCATCCTCCAGATGAGGGCAACGGATTAGATTAGGGGTGAAGAGCAAGGGTATATGGCAAACAATTTTCTCAGTGCTTTGTGCCCCCTACCCAGCTTCCACCAATAAAGGTGGCTACTCTGCCTGTCATGGTGTGAGAGCCCTGAGTGATTAAAATTTATGTGTAAGTTTGGCAGCAAGTGCTATGTTAAAAAGAAAAAACTCCATCCTGGAATCAAAGATATGCCTTTTCCCAGTCTTGAATGTTGTTTTATTCTAGCAATCTCATTAAATCATTAAACGGTTCCCACAGGGGACATGCGATTGGAGGACTTTTCATCCCATTTGAGACCTCTGCTCTAATTTCTTTTTGTGTCTTCCCTTCATCATAATAGATCAATCTGCAAGAATCAGCAATTCCTTCTGGTGGCATTTCTTCATTGCAACAATGAGTCTTGAACCTCCCAAGCTGGAGATAACATCAGCGACCAAGGTGACCGGAGGGCCTGTCACTCCCAGGAAAGGACCCCCGAAATTCAAGCAGAGACAGACCAGGCAGTTCAAGAGCAAACCACCAAAGAAGGGTATCCAAGGGTGAGCAATGATATGTTGTTGTTTTTTTGGGGGGGAGAGAAGGAGAAGGTGGATTCCATAGCCACAGGCTTTTAAAATCCCTACTGCTATGGCCAACATCCCTATCAATCCAGGAGTGGCTTTCACACCAAATCTGAGTCCTTACAGCAAGGCTAGCATTAGAGGAGGCAGAAGCCCACTCTGATCCTTCTCCACCTTCCCCTGGTGCAGGAATTTTACCAGGCTCTATGTTCCTGCTGGGACTTGTGGGAAGTTCACTGACAGATGACTGACTCCCCTGCTCCCAGCCTCATGTTTCTACTACCACAGCTTGTACAACACAACATGCAATGAGCTTTGTGATACTCCCTGCCTTGTTCCAAGTGGCATGATGGGCCCAGGTGCCTGGACTTACTAGCCCTCTCCACTATTCCCTCTTCATGCTCTAGACTCTAGAGTCTAGAGTATGCCGGTGTTACAGAAGTGCAACACATGGACAAACGCTTCTGTGCTGAGCCAGTGAGCCTTGGAATTAGGAGTGTCGGGGGGAGATGGATAACCCACCTTGCTGCACAACTTGAGATTTGTCTTCCCACTGGGAGACCAGAACAGCACAGCACTTCCCAGGGACTCCAGCTGGCACTCTGAAAGCTGGCAACAGTCCTTGTCATTTTCAGGAGTGTAAGCAGCCACATGTGAAAGGGCTAATGAAAAATACAACATGCCACTGTCTCAGTTTTCCCCTTAATTTGCCCCTATACCATTGCTAATTAATTCTAACTGAAGAGGAATTACTGATTTTGGCTCATCAGAAGTGTAGAGATAATTAATAGAATGATGTTTTAGTTGAGACATTTTGGGCTGAGATATTAATCGGCTGTGCCTTCTATAAAAGTTTAATACATCTGAATAATTATTTTGAAATTTGCATATATAACACAAATTAATATATGCAAATTTTATGTAGGGTTGTGTCCTATGGGCCTGAGTCTTGTGTCTTTTTTGTGCCTGTTATTCTGAACATGAATTGTTATTTATGACATGAAGTTCTTCTTTCTAGGAGAAGAAAAGATACAGTAATGTGATCAAATTTGTGCTCTCAATGAACACTTTTTCTCATGAGTTAGCATCCAGCTAGTTATGTGAAGCAGCAAGCCGAGGTGCTTACACATGAGTCAGTCTCTGGGCGTGGAAAGGTTCCATCTTACTGTTTGTAATATTTGCCATTGCCAGCAGATTTGCTAGCTGAGGAAGCTTCCTTTACGAGCAGCAGCTTGGATCCCTCACAAGACGTGGATTTCCTCATGTGCGAACTACAACACTTTTCTCATGATGTCACTTCCAACATCAGGAAAAAGTGCATTTGTTCTCAATTTGGAACTCAATTTCCTACAACAAAGCCTCAGAATGGAACATTAATGAGGGATGTGGCACGCATTACACCAGTTTATCCCAGGAAAACCCATAGTGTAAGAATACCTTTAGGCTCTTCGAGGCTTAGAGCCATGTGGCAACAGCAGGGGATCTCCGCTTGACTGTCACGCCTTGCACTAGGCGGGTGCCAGTGAAGTAAGACAGGGATAAAGCTCCTCGCTCTTTCATGTGTTTACTTACTGTAAGCATAGTCATCTGTATGGAGCTCTTGTCTACACGGAATGTGTTACATAGGTGTACTGTCTGACAAGCACCTACATCTAGAGAAATAACAGTAGCAGGAAAATCCATAGTTCAGTAAAAGAGCAGAGGCTCTGAATGCCAAAGGTGCCATTCTAATGGCTAGAATGTCCAGGTGGGACTGGCCTCAGAAACTCATTAAGTATATAAAGCAGGCTTTCTATCAGCCTGCATGGAATGCACTCTCATATCCATTGATCTTCTAGACTGGCACTGCAGCAGGCAGAAATCAATGTGAATGCAGCATTATGGCGTGCTATGTTGCTTGGGTCAAGTAGGAAAAGCACGAAGTTTGCCAGTCCCAGGAATAATCTCAGCTTTCATTTCTTCTTCGATCTATGCCAATACAAATTCTCACCATGCATATTGTTTAAAAATCCAACTCAAAACACTTTGATATTTTCTGTTTTCCTCTTATTTTTGTCTTGCCTTTACAGCTATATAATTAAATAAACCATTCATGGAGAGGGATTGGGATGGAGGGGGCAGGGTGGAGAAAAGGCTGACTCTAGACTGAGCATATCATCCATTCTGAAGCTCTATAACAGTGTCTCTAACAACAACAAACGCACCTCATGTTGCTTAGCCACCACAGCAACCATGCAAATCTACTGGCTTTCTGTTTACGCAGTGCCCTCAAGGAGGCTGAGGTAACTTACAAAAAACAAACAAACAAAGCAACCCACAAACAAACCTATCAGTAATTCATGTGAAGACAATGCCTTTGCTAGGCCAGCCCCTTGACTATGTAGCTTTCAAGACGCATTCAAGATGTTTCAAGAAGTAGGGAGGGGAGAGGAGAGGAGATGACCACAGCTTTAAGATGGTGTTGGGGAGGAGGGATCTGCCAGTATTCAGATGACACTCCACCACAAGGGAGGGGGACTGCCAGACATCCTGCTCAAGCCTGCTAAGCCTCCTGTATCATGAATGAAGATTATAATCAATGGCTGTCCTAAAACATAAGCACTTGAGCAGGAAAAAAAATCCTTTGTATCATCCACACAGAGCTCCATTAGATGTTATATTTCCATAGTTGGAGTGGTGACTCCAAGTTGGGCAATAGAAACCAAACACTTAGTAGAATGCACGCTCTTTTATCTCTCCCTATGCAGATTTGGTGATGACATCCCTGGCATGGAAGGCTTGGGAACAGGTATGATGAAATATGATTTATATATTTTTATCAGAGGTATGCATTTATCACATGACCTAAAGATCTGCTAGGGTAAGTTTTAGTATGAGCAGGCTCCTTGCAGTTTCCCTCACCCAGCTCTGTCTATATAGCCTTATCCAGCTGTTATAGATCTTCTGGACCTCTAGCAGGAGGCCCAAACTCTGTCTTCCTGATTCAAAGCATTCCTCTCAGTGGCTTTTCCATTTCAAAGGACCGCAGACTCCCTGGATACTTTCCTCCATTTTCAGTCCTGCGAATGTTCGATCTTAGTTGCAGCTGTCCAAAGGAATTTCAGCCTCAACCACGTCTTGATTGCTTTAACGGTGGGCTTAGCCATGCTTGAATTGGCTGTTTATCACATTCTAGGATACACTGGTCTCAGAATATGCTTCAGTTAACAGGGAAACAATTGCTCCAGCTGTATGCAGAATAGGAAGGAGTCTGCTGAGTTTTACTGGCTTTTCTTTGGTCCTGATCATATCCGCCAAAAGAATCCCAGTTATACCTCTTTGGCCTGATCGCACCCGCCAAAGAATCCCAGTTATACTTCTTTGACTGTTTTTTAGATCATTTCAGAATGGTTTATTTCTGCCTCAACAGGAAGCGTGTTTCATTTTGTACCAACGTTGTATTGACACATTCCTTACCAGTATGTCATATAAGTTAACACATTCCAATCGATTATTTTCCCATGGCTCCCCAGGGAAGGTGGCCACCATTATTGCCACACTGCTGGCCCTGTGATTATTATCCCCCCCCCCACGGCTGGTATAGCATCACGCCAATATACCATGGTCTATTGTTTGATTGGGCAAGCTTGGCGCGGATTGACTTCCGTGTGCTATTTATCTTGTTTACTGCTTGGTGCCTCAGCTGACTTTCAGCCAAGCAGCACAGGTGTACAGGGGGATGGGGCCATGGTGGGCAATGCATTACTTCCAGAGTTGCAGGCATCACAGATCAAACGTTCCTGAATGGGAATCCCTTTCGGTCATGTTGATGTATCAGTCAGGGGTGTTTTTAAAAAATAATAGGCGCAGCACTGCCTCAGGAAACATCAGAGAAAATAAATCGATTCTACAGTGTCGCTGGCAATAACGTTTCAAATGGGAAGAAATGAATGGGTAATATTAAAAGCCATGGGAATGTTCCTGCCAGTATATATACTACATGACCACAAATATAAATGTATCAATAGAATGGAGGTATGGAAAGAATCAATATAACTGGGGTTCTTTTGGCAGGTATGATCAAGCCCTTAGTTATACTTTCACTCTTGCTGGCAAAATCATGAGAATGGCAAACGTAGCAACAGACTCCTGCACTCACATTGCTTTCATGGGAAACATGGAGCTTTTCTTCCCTTTAGCACTCCATTTGCACCGGGACTCTTTCGCCTAAGGGGGTCACCATTTGGTTTTAATCATTCTGAATGTATGTGTGGGTGTGGAGTTTGGGGTAGCCCAGCAAGCAGCCTATAACAGGAAGTCAGCGCAAGTCTCCCCAAAGATGTCCCTGCTACATCACCCTCCTTTTCTCAGTCATCAGAGCTTATGGTTGAAGTTAACCACAAACAATGCACACCAATTTCTCACATAACACAGTGTCTAAACCAGACAGCCAATACTGAATCAACAACCCAACACCCTAGGATGTTACTATATAGTTTAATCACGTACGTGGTGAAAATGATTATACTGTACTCCTTATTGTTAATATAATAATTGATCTATAAGTACAACAACACCTAAGCTATTTTGCAAAACTAGATGTACGTGGTGAAAATGATTATACTCCTTATTGTTGATATAATAACTGATCTATAAGTACAACACCTAAGCTATTTTGCAAAACTAGATGTTTGACAAGTAGATCCATGTCAGTGGAAAGTGTCCTCAGGTGCTTTCAGTGATGGGCACAAAGCTTACCTCCTACTTCAGCTTGTCTTTCCTCAAATGGGCTTGTTCCCTTGGTTAGTGCCATTTCCCCTGTTTCATCTTTGTCTCCTTCCTTTTTGTATGGCTGTGACAAAATGCCACTCTGGTGCCAGAATATGCATTGGTAGTCTCTCTCCGTAATACCAGTGCAAGCCATCACAATTGCTTACTTAGAAATAACTTCATTTAAGATTATGGTCTCACACAATCGTTTGCTCTCCCAGTTGTCATAATAGGCTTTGGGATAGATTCCAGCTCAGCCTCTGTGCAATGACCATATGTGGATTGCTTTGATGCTAGTCTTTATTCTCTTTCAGATATCACTGTGATCTGCCCCTGGGAAGCTTTCAGCCACCTGGAACTCCATGAGCTGGCACAATATGGCATCATCTAAACACAAAGGAACTAGGAATGAAGCTGCATACATATACATTTCTTTCAGTAGTGGTTAACAGCTTCTTTTGTCTTTATTTTATCTGTGTCCCTAGTTCTGACCTGCAAATCAGCCATCCCAGCAGTAATAATTTCTTGGCTTCTAGCAATGAGAAAAATAAAATAAAAAAACAAATGAACATTGCCTTTATGTTTCAGTTCTTGCGATTAACTCCCCTGCAACACTTCATGTGCAAAAGGTCACCTGTAAGTCCAAGAAATTGCATCTGTATATATGTACTATAGCTTCCCCATTTTACCATAACACCTTCCATCTTATCTGTGTCTTGGATCATAAGAGGCTAGTTAGACAGGGGAAACTGAGCTAAAAAAATTGTTAATATAAAACAAAGAAGTGGGAGTAACTTAATCTTGGAATTTACTATGGCTCTGGGGTAGGAGTTAAAAGCAGCAACAACACCCAATAAAATTTAAGCTGCTAAATAAATCACTGGCAAAATCAGAAATTATTTTTATGAGTTCAATGGGATTTGCTCCCAGATGAGAGAGTTTAGGATCACAGCATAGATACTTCTCCCCTTTCCTCAAATTTGTCAGCATGAACTGGGATTCACTGATAAATCCCAGGTCACCTCCAGTAGCGGTCTGATGTGGTGCTCCTTCTCATGCCCAGTGCTTGAGATAGGCCAGGAGGAGAAATGATGCATTTTTGTACTCTCAGATTACATCTTCCTTGTCCTCTTTCACATCTTCCTTGCTAGTGAATTTGAATTCAGGCTGTATTCCAATGACTATACTGCCTGTAGCAAGGGAAAAGAGAGAAAGGAAAGGAAATAGGGATATATGAACTCTCAGAGTGCAACCTAACTTCTCTCTCCCTTTGGGACTGGAATGCCACTTGCCTACATGAACATCAATGGTCTTTTCCTTCCTTCCCCTGTTTGTTTTTAGGACAGAATAAAAAAAGCTCTGTTACTTTCCATAACAATGCAATTTTTTCCTCAGCTTTCAATATAAAGTATTTTCTAAGCAATTTTCTTCAGAAGAGCAACCAGCTCTGGGGCACAATGGGAGCAGATGCAGTTCTTTGGTGACACCTCTCAAAAATACAACATGCAGACACAAAGACTACATGTCCTATCAAGAGGGAAGCCTTTAGTAATGTAGGTCAAGAGCTGCCGATTGGAGTACAGTATATGGAGCCAAGCAGGCTTAGGAAGAAGAGTTTACTGCTATAATGTATAACTAATATAAAGCAAAAAAGGGGAAAAAACACTTATCAAAAGTGAGGAAAGCAGTACGAGACTGGTTCATCCCTCAGGATCAAAGTGCCAGCAATATACTTTTTGTTCTCATGAACCTTGGTCCTCAATAGTCAAAGAATTGTACTGTACAAAAATAAAACACAACTCACCGTTAGAACTTAGTGACAAGGAATGGCAGCTATGCCAAAAGAGAGCAAGTGAGCATACGCAGAAGTATTAGAATTGGGCACTGTCAGTGTCTCTGTTCTAAGTCAATATGGCAGTAAAATCAAAAGTATGCCTCAACAAGTCCTTATAAAATATACTCTCTAATCAGTTAAAGGCCACCACAAAATGTACTGTAACAAATATGTATGTAATAAGCAAAGATTGGAGTGAGGGTAGAATTCTTTTAAGGGTCATGTTCCATAAACTTGCCACCGTAGCCAAGAAAAATAAATTAGAATACTAATTTTGGGAAGTGGAGGAAAGGGAATGCATCAGAGACCCACTGTGTCTTCACAGATTCTTCACAAATTATATTCCTTCTTGAAAGGGACAGAATTTGCTTGCATGCTCGAAAGTGGCTTTGAGAAAACACCAGAAGAAATCATCTGCAGAATTGTACAGGAGCAGTCTGGGTGCAGAGTGAGGGTGGGCAACTTCGGTGCAGCTGAAGGTCAAATCTTCATCTCCACAAGGGATGATGTTTCATGGCCAGAAATTGCCAAAGATTGAGAGAAAAAAAATAAAAGGAACGGACACTGTCTACATCTACTTTTTATTTTTTTAGTGTGAGGAGAGATATGGGCTGGGGAACATTGTGGCACCCCAGAGCAAAAACAACAAAACCACAACTTTCTATTCCTGGATAGAAAAAAAAACCTGTCCCTCCCACCAAAGTTGAGTGTGTGCATGTGTTTGTGTGTCTGTCTCTGTCTGTGTTGGGGGGTGGGTTTATGGAGATTGGGGGGTGGGGTGTCTGCAAAAATGGCCTAAGAGACCATTCTGCCCATCCCAGTATACAGACCTTTTGAAGGCCAGATCCTGACAAGCAGCTATGCAATATGTCTCCTGTTTCTTGCAGTGATTAGTATTGAGGGAGAGTTCATAAAATGAAAGGGTATCAGTGATGGAATAAGATACAGCTGGGGAGAAGAAGGGAATTGCCACCACCCAAAGACAGTGAAACAAGAAGGGCACATGCAACAGGAACTCCAGTGTAAAAAAGCTCTTGGTCTTCCATATAAAACACACAGCCTACTCCTGGAAATTAACTTTAATAAGAACAATGGGATTCCACAACATTCTGCACCTACGGCCCTTAGAAAATCATGAATAAAATCCCCCATGGCTTTGGTGTTCATAGAGTAATAACTTCCCATCCCTCCGACTGTCATGCTCAGTGGTGGCAAAAGCAATGCCTGCCAGGAGTTTCGTGGCCAACAATAAGCTCACTATTTCAATCACAATAAGAAGTACGGAATAGAAGGCAATTGTTCCTGCATGATTATTAAGCCATCTGGTCAGCTGGGGAACACAACCTCCAAGATAGATGACGCTCTGAGCCACAAACTCCTCCAGGACCAAGGCACCAAAGCCACACTGGGAATTCGGTACAGTGCCATTTTCCAGTGGATCCAGGCAGCAGGAAGCAGGAACACCACAAGCTTGCACACCAGGAGAACTGCAGTTAAAGTACCTGCAAGTTAACAACAGGAACATTCATTTCAGTTGCCAAGGCAGCACTGAGATCCTGGCTGTCTGATTGTTAGGGTTCTTCCATAACTGCTTGCTTGCTTGCTTCCCTACACATATACATGAGGGACCCTTACTTAAAAGAGTGGCATCCTAAAGTGCAGAAGCTAATTTGAACAAGAATCCCTTGAGTGGATCAGGATCTCTGCACGGAAAAGGAAACCCACATGTCCATTTCTGGAGCTGTGTGCACAGTATATGTATACTTGAGTCTCTGCAGGCACAAACTCCAGGGTTTTGAATGTGAGACCAGAGAAATGGTACTGAAGATTTAAGCTGTGCATCAGTGACATGTTCAGGTCAATGGAGAGAACAAGTTAGCTATACCAGCCAAAGACACGTCTCAATATAAATGGCTTAAAACAGCTCCTATGCATTTCCAGACCTCCTCCAAGATAGATGATGCTCTGAGCCACAGACTCCTCCAGGATCAAGGCACCAAAGCCACCCTGGGAAACATTTTTCTCATATCAAGGGATTATAAAGAGTTGATAATGAATGGTATATCTGATGAGCTGGGCTGGACAGTATTAGAGTGCTGAGGATTTGTTGAAGTATCAGATATTTAAACAACATCATTCCAGAAACATTTGCAATGGATGTTCCACTGTATCTGGGTTTTCTCACACTTTTTAGTTATCATCTATATTGAAGGTTGTTATATATAAACTCCAAGTTGGTTTGTACTCACACATTTGTTTTCCAGTCTAGGTAAGACTCCACTCCACAGCACTGCAGGCCTGTCTGAATTTCATCCATAATAAATTGGAGATCTAGGTCATCTTGATACCGTAGCACTGCCACCGTGAGCGAATTTTGCAATGATGCCTTGATCTGGTGTCTAAGAGAAAAAAGAACTATTCCACCCAGAACTTCCAGGATCACAAAGATGATGATTCCTCCAGTAAAAAGCTTCAAGAGGCAGGTGTTTTCAATAAGGGCTCCTAAGCAGCCCACCAGTGACAAAGTGCTGGCTGCAAGGCCTGCCAGCACAAAGAAGAGCATTGGGTCACTGCCCAAAGAAGTTATCCGCTCAGTTGTCAGTGACTCCTTGTCAGAGAGACCCCAAATCCCTATGGCCAAAATGAGCAGTCCTGCAACGGAGAACGCAAGGTTCCAAACAAGGCTTAAGTATTTAACACACTGAGTAAATGGCTCCAGAGGCTGACGGGAAGACAGATGGAGCTGCCTTTGTCCTGCCTGCTTCTTGGTACAGCCAGTTTCTTCTCTGCTAGGATTCAGAAGAGAGTCTTGTGCATTTGAAGGACAAAATACATCCAGTTTGTCTGTCTAATCAGCGAAGGAAAGAACCAAGAAAATGTAGACTGAGCATCAGACACAGAGAATAAAGTGAAACCATAAATACCAAATGTTAAAACCCTGTTTCACCGAAAATAAGACCTAACCTGAAAATAAGCCCTAGTATGATTTTTCAGGATGCTCGTAATATAAGCCCTAGCCCAAAAATAAGCTCCAGCTAAATGAAACCCCACCCTCCACCATTGTGCAGCAACCAGATGAAGATGACATGACTATCTTTGAATAAATGTAGATTGTTGTACATGAAAACAAATAAAACATCCCCTGAAAATAAGCCCTAATGCATTTTGGAGCAAAAGTTAATATAAGACCCTGTCTTATTTTCAGGGAAACATGGAAAGTGTCCTCAAATATTAGAGACCAGATCACACACTAAGGCTAATGTATCTTTCTTCCTCTTATAACTGTTATCCCTGCAGGTCAGCCAATCTTTCAGTGCTACATGCCTGAAGTATCAAACATGCAGAAGAAACTGTGCTGTCTCCCAATTGTCCAAATACAAAACAAAAGCAAACTAATTTGTCAATGCGGATTAGGGGAAGTTCATGTTAGAACAAACAGTCTTTACCTCCTAACTGTACCCTGTTTCCACATACACCATCAGCATCTCATCTAGTGAGTCCCTAAAGCAGTGGTCTCCAAGCTTGGGCCTCCAGATGTTCTTGGACTTCAACTCCCAGAAATCCTGGCCAGCAGAGGTGGTGGTGAAGGCTTCTGGGAGTTGTAGTCCAAGAACATCTGGAGGCCCAAGGTTGGGGACCACTGCCCTAAAGGACAAAAATGTCAGAAGGGACCCAATCTTGTTGTAGCAAGTTCTAAACAAACCAACTTGCAGCCAAAACAAATAAACTCTTAGCCTGAAGTGTCTTTAAGTGCTGATAGGCTACAGCTCAGTTCTTCTAAGCATTTACTTGAGGTGGAAAGTGCTATTGAACTCAGTGGAAACTATTTCCAAGTGAAATTCTTTAGAATTTTTCTTACTACCTCAGTAAGCATAACCTGAATTGCCTAGCACTGTATATATTTTTGTACAATGACGGCCATAGGATTTTTTACAAATTGCATACACATTGAATGCTCATTTGTTTTACAAGTTCTTTTACAAATACTACATCTTTCCACAACTGTTAAATATTTTGTATAACTTGGTTCAATCATCAATCCAAATGGAGACTGCAGCCATCAGAAGACAACTGTGACTTGAAAAGGTACTGATGAAGGAACAACAAATGCTTCTAAAGTATAAAGAAGTACCATTGGAGACCAAGGTGAAAATCATCTGTTCTATGGTATTCCCAATTACTATGTATAGATGTGAAAGCTTGACAGTAAAGAAAGATGATAGGACAAAAATTGAGTAATTTGAAATGTGGTGTTGGAGGAGACCTTTATGGATACCACAAATTGCCAGAAAAACTAACAAAAAGTTGTTTGATCAAATCAAGCCTGAACTTTCTATAGAAGTGGAAATTACTAAGCTGACACTATCAGGTACATCATTGTAAGATCTATCGAATAAGACAATAATGTTGGGAAAAGTTGAAGGCAGCAGGAAAAGAGAGAAGACTTCTTCAACATTAGCTGGATTGACTCAGAAAACGAAGTTGCAGCCTTGAGTTTGCAAGATATCAGCAAGGCTGTTAATGACAGGACATCTTAGAGTTCAGTAATTCATATGATTTCCATGAGTCAAAAGTGACTTGATTACACATAACAACTGCTACTGAAAAGCAAACATAGTAGAAAACATATGCAAACAAGAAATACTTATCACAAAACAACAATCAACCCTCAGAAACAAACCCAGGGAACAAAAATGACACACTACAACGGGGCCCCTATGGCTCAAAATCGCAGAGCGAAGGTCGGTAAGCGGTTCGCTTGCCGACCTTCGCTTTGCAACCCACCGATCAGCTGTTCGGTGCCTACAAAATGGCCACCGGAAGCCCCAAAATGGCCACGCGCAGCGTTTTTGCGCCCTTGTTAAGCGAAGGGAGGGCGTGAAAATGGCTGCCAGCCATCGGAGAAACATCGCTGTACGGTGACTAAAGCTGCTATTGGAACACATTAAACTAAGTTTAATGCATTCCAATGGCTTTTTTTGATCCGTACAGCGATGTTTTCACACAGCGAGGGTTAATCCGGAGCAGATTAACCTCGCTGTGTGAGGCACCACTGTTACTTATCACAAAACAACAACCAACCCTCAGAAACAAACCCAGGGAACAAAAATGACACACAATGCAAAATTTGGCAATTACCTTTGGTAGCAAAGCTCTAGTTTCATCTTCTTCTATCCTGGTGCCTTGGAAATTAACCCCCTGCAATATAATATTGAAAAATTTGGTGGGTTTTGTTGCCATATTTTCCAGGGCGGAATGTGGTCTCTTTGAGAAAATTCTGCTGCCCCACATCTGCCGATCAATCAGCAAGAAAGCAATGGATATTGTGCACTGTAGAAAAGAAGGAATGCTTCAAGACAGATCTCCAGTCATACTTGTATCATGTGAGAAATCACATTTTTTGGCTTAAAGAATCGAGTGTTGTTTTGCTTTGCTCTATCCATTAAATAGTTACAGATTATATACTGCTGAAGCCACACCACAGGGTGCATTTCATGTAGCAAAACCGGTATTTTCTCTCACACTATGACTTTCTATAACAGATAAATTAGCAAGTTTAAGACATGATTTAACAGATAATTAGAAAGGTCGAAACAAAAGACTGAAGCTATCCATTGGGATCTGGACCCCTTTAATTGTTCAGTAGGTCAGGTTGATATATCCAGAGTGCTGCCTTGTCCTGTTTTATTGGATCAGTTTCAGCCACTAATACCTGAGGAGGTTGACAGGGTGCTTGCCTGTTCTAGACCCACCACTTCCTCTCCCGAGCCTTGTCCATCTTGGCTATTGAAAGCAGCCAAGGAAACGACTGTGGAATGGGCCTTTCATATCTTCAACACTTTGTTGCAGGAAGGGGTTTTTCCTCCTGCTTAAGAAAAACAACCAGTAGGCCCATTCTGGAAAAGTTTAATCTAGTAACAGACAATCTGAATAATTTCCGGTATGTGGAAAATATTCCATTCACTGGCAAGTTGATCGACAGAGTGGTGGTGGATCAATTGCAGGTGTTCCTGGAGAATACCAAGTTGGACATAGGGGTTCAAATTACTCAGCTATAGCCATAGAGGCTATGACTGCACTGGCCCTTTTTGAAATAGGGTCATTTGAAGTTGTGGGGGGGAAGGAGCAATACACTATTTGGTAATATCCTTGCAGCTAAATGCTACAGACGTCAAGCAACCTTCTGGTGTTTTCTGGAATTGTGAAGAGGCTTAATACATTACTCATTTCAGGACACCAGCAAATTGAATACTTCACCTCTCCTCAGCACTGAATTACTTACATTAATGTTTTTACAAAAATTTGCCTTGTGTGTCAGGCTGATTGAGAAACTGACCACAGCTGTAGCTTCAATCAGCACTTCAGACAAAGCCAAGAAAATATTTTAATTTAATCTAAGTGATTCAGAGGCTTAATACATTACTCATTTCAGGACACCAGCAAATTGAATACTTCACCTCTCCTCAGCACTGAATTACTTACATTAATGTTTTTACAAAAATTTGCCTTGTGTGTCAGGCTGATTGAGAAACTGACCACAGCTGTAGCTTCAATCAGCACTTCAGACAAAGCCAAGAAAATATTTTAATTTAATCTAAGTGATTCAGTGCAGTGGTTCTCCTCTGCACTGAATTACTTACATTAATTTTTTAAAAAATCTTGCCTTGTGTGTCGGGCTGATTGAAAAACTGACCAGAGCTGTAGCTTCAATCAGCACTTCCGACAAAGCAAAGAAAATATTGTAATTTAATCTAAGTGATTCAGTGTATCAGTGATGATCTAGCAGAGAAAATTTTTTTAATTTCTTTTTCTATGCCACTCCACAGAGAAGCAGGAAAAGTGTTCAACTTGCTGATATCCTTAAATAGCTCACTTACTAAGTCACAATACTGTACCAAAAATTAACAGAAGGAGCCTTGGCAGCTTTGCCAGCTGTAAGGCTTAATTTTGGTCCATTCTGAGTGATCTCATAGGCTTAAGTGACCACACCTTAAAAAGTGGAAGTACCTAACAGGGCCTAAAAACGTGCAGGTGGGTGGGGTGCTCTGGGGATGGATTGG